TATTTTTTATGTGCAAGAAAGACTAAAACCACTAAAGCGCATACATGTTTAGCATAAAAATTAATGAACTACCTAATAACAAACTTCTGGTGAATGGAAATTCCAAATAGGTTTATTATTGTTGTCAAAACCTGTATATTTTACCTGTTGCGAATAAGTAAAGTGGGGTTAAATATAATGGCAAATTATAATTTGCATTTTAGTTGTGAATTAGATAGCAAAAGTGTGTGTACAATAAACAATTTATTCTTGAAAGTGTTATTAAGTGTTAGTGGATATGGGACGAGGATAAAGAAAATTTCTGTATAAGTTAATTTGATTAGATTGACTAGACTATATTTTTGATAAAAAAGAATTCAAATTAATATTAAATGCAACTGTGATATTTCATAATGTGCATGCATTTTGGAAGATACTAAAAAATATTGGCACCTATTTTATGAGTATTCCGTACTTACTTCAGTGGGAACTAACCACAAAAAAGTCAAAAATGATAATATCCACATCCACTTTAGTCCAGTGATCAAAGATGAAAATGCCAGTGAACCTCTAGAAATAATACGAACAAGCCGAATTTTGCTAAGAATGTCAATTTTCGGACTCCAAAAGATGTAAAAAAATTTGCCGCTCCTAGTTCTGGACTTTCCCCTAAAATCTCCTTCTTGAGGGGCAGGAGGATCTGGAAAATGCTTCTGAAAATAGTTGTAAAGGCAGCTGTGTATGAAAATCGGCCTTTCTGACAGGAAATCCGTATTGTGCCATGCCCGACATTCGGGTGAGTGGTGTTAAAAAGAGAAAAACAGAAAAAAAATTTAATATTAACAATTGATATTATATACACCAAGCTTATTGGGATGGAAAGAACCTGCCATAAAACCACTTTATGCAGACGTCTGACAAAAACTTGAATTTGAATACAAAATCATTGATAAACGAGTGACTACTATGGAAAGTAAGAGGACAATACATTGGCGTTTATAATATTTAGAAAAACTTCAAAAATGTCAAGACCAAAAACGAACAATTTATTATTTAGACGAAACATGGTATGACACCTTAGTATATGGTGGTTTCTTTAATCTAAGTATGACACGTAAGATACCCATAGCAAGGGTTGGACTGATGGTTCACTTAGGTGCTAGCTGAAAGAAATATCGCCGAATAAAGATTCTCTAATGACTGTTGTACACTGTGGACCTTCAAATGGTTGAATGTCAACTGGGTTAAAGCTTTGCAAAAAAAATAGAAAAATGTAGTGTAAAAAATTTGAATAGTGGTTAAAGAATACATTACTTCCTAATATAACACCCAGCAGTGTGTTTATTATGAACAATGCCAGCAATTACTCAATACTTATAAAAAAATTCCGAACAGTTCGTCTTCAAAACAGGACCTATAGATTTTCTCTCAGATAATGATTTGTATGCAGAGAGAGCGATGGAGAGGTCAATGTTGGGCGTATCACTCAGGGACAGAGTTTCGAGTCAGATAGTAAGGAGAAAAACTGGTGTGACGGACGCAGTTGAAAGAATTACAACCCTGAAATGGAACTGGGCAGGACATGTTGCTAGGGTCAGAGATGGAAGATGGACAAAGAAAATTTTAGAGTGGAGGCCTAGACACGATGCTTATCGTAGTCGAGGACGTCCTCCAACAAGGTGGTCGGACGATTTAAAGCGCATCCAGTCTAACTGGATTTAAGTTGCTCAAGATCGGATGCAATGGAATTATTTACGGGAGGCCTATGTTCAGCAGTGGACGCAAAATGGCTAATGATGATGATGATGAATGATTTGTATTTTGGAGAGAACTGTAATAGGAAACAATTACTTAAAGTGCTTCGTCCTAAAACCTATGAGAAATAATATGTACTGGACACCATTGCAACAGAACATGGTCATACTGTTTTGAGGTTACCACCTTATTTTTGCATTTTTAATCCCATAAAACTTATTAGGGGACAAGTAAAAAAACAAATGGAAAACATAAAGCAAGTAATGAACAAAGCAGCAAAAGAATGTATTAAACAAGAGAATAAAAAGAGAAAAGCCTGGTTTGACATAGAGTGCCAAAAAAAAGTAGAACCAAGAAAGTCATTAAGGATGGAAATGGAAATCACGAAAGAAACAACAGAGACAAAGAATAGATATGTGGAGCAAAGACAAAGAGTAAAGAGGATGCTGTCAGAAAAGAAGATAAACTACATAGAAAATAAGCTAAAAGAAATAGAAGAGAACTATAGAAATAAACAAATAAAGAACCTATATCAAGGTGCTAGAAATAAAAAAGAGTTTTCCAACAAAAACCCATATTCGTTAAAAACAAAGCAGAAAATAATATAAGTGGTAAAGCAGAAATAGTCGAAAGATGGAAAGAGTATTTTGATGAATTACTAAATGGCAATAATAGGTCAAACTAAAGAGACTGTATGGAAGCAGAAGCAAGAATCGAACACTTAGAAGACATAGAAGATAATTCACCCAGCAAAGAACAAATCGGGGAAGTCATAAAAAATCTGAAAAACAATAAATGCCCTGGAAGCGATATCATAATATCAGAGATGATGAAATATGGTGGAAAACTGATAAATGATTGGATATACAAAATCATAAAGGAGACATAGATAAAAGAACGAATACCAGAAGATTGGAAGGAAGCAATTATTTGCCCATTACACAAAAAAGGAGACAAAACTGAATGCAGTAATTACAGAGGAGTAACGTTACTAAATAACGTGTATAAAATCCATAAAAGATAAGCTAGAAAAAGAAGTTGAAGATATATAATAGCCGAATATCAATGCGGATTTAGACGAGGAAGAAGCACAACGGACCAAGTATTCGTAATCAGAGAATTACAAGCAGAAAGCTATGAACACAACTTACCAACGATAGCACTAGTCATCGACTTCCAGCAAGCATACGATAGAATAAAGAGGAAGGAATTAAAAGAGATCCTTGAGGAACTGGGAGTTATCAGAAAGTTGCGTAGCATGATACGTCTTACTTTAGAGAATACAGAAAACAGAGTCAAAGTAAACAATCATTCATTGGACAAATTTATAGTAAACGAAGGATTAAGTCAGGGCGATTCTTTGTCATCATTACTATTCAATTTATGCCTAGAAAAAATAATGCAAGAAGCGAAAATCAATAGAGAATGACTCCTATAATATAATAGACACCAAGTTTTGGCATTTGCGGATGATGTAGTGTTGCTGGCAAGAGGAAAAAAAGCTGTATGAGATAGTACAGAGATTAGTAAAAGCAGCGAAGAAAAGGGGACATAAATGAAACTAAAACAAAATGTATGCAGTGGACAGATGATCAGTTGGGATGGACAAAAGTTTTAAGTAAAAGTAGAAGAAGGATCATCATACGAATTGGAAATGGTAGAAAGATTTACATACCTAGGTGCAATAATATCACGTAAACTTAAAATTAAAGAAGAAATACAAGCTAGAATAATGGCAGGCAATAGAAGTGTACATGCTCTTAGTGGAATGTTGAAAAGCAAGTTTTTATCAAGAAAGGCAAAAATACAGTTATACAAAACAACTATACAACCAATAGTAACATACTGCAGTGAGACATGGGCAAATTACAAAAATGAACAAAATATACTGGAGATATGGAAAAGGAAAATACCGAGGAAGATATATTGAGGAATAATAAGGGACAGTTTATGGATAAGAAGATAGACTAAGATGGCGAGGTCACCTAGAAAGGATGACGAACACTAAGACTCCAAAAAGGGTACTAAACTACACTATAGCTTCAAAAAAGGGAAAAGGAACGCCAAAAAATATATGGAATCAAGGGGTAGAAAAAGATATGGAAAAAATTGGACTAGAAGGCCAGAAAAGAAAAATGAATAACAAGAAGGAATGGAGAAAAATCACATATCGAGCCAGAGAAGATCTCAGTACATAAAGAAAAGCGAAAATGAAGAAAGAACAAACTTTTGAAGCCATTTGACGCGAAAGTGCCGACTGGAAAAAAGTAGTTAACCATGTAGTTAATGTAGAAAATAAATACAGCAGCCTAGAATAATTAACTTCAAAGAATGGACAATTTGTGGACAGTGAAGAGCTCGTCTGCAGAAGAAAGTTTTTCATTATAAATTGTTAACTTTTGTTTAAAACGATAATATTTTGTTAAATGTAAAATACTTTTCCGCCGGTATATTTGTGTGACGTCATCGTTAAAGGCTAATATAAAATGCCAATGTATCCACCGTAGTTTTTTCCGACAGGGTGACAGATTGATAATTTTTTGACATTTCACTTTTAACCATTTAAAAAACAAAAAAATATAACATTTTGTTTTTTTTTGCTCCAAAATCAGATACCTCTGCTCTTTCGACTATATATGTAGGATATATTACACATTGTTATTTTATGATTTAATACTTATTTCAATAAATTTTTCTCGGTAAAACAACCAATATCGCAATACGTCCCTGGACAACGGTTACTGTAATTTCTTAAACATTTATACTTACCACCACTTTTTTCGATGGGCGATAGAACTATGGAGGCAACTATAACTATTTAAATAATAATAATCTGAATGAAATTTGTAAAATATCCAGTAGTTTCCATATAAATGGCAACTCTAAATTATTTATTAAGGTATTTTTAGAATATTAAAACTCATATATGTTTAAAAACGATATATAACTTCCCTTATAAGCAATTTAAGCTTGTATATAAATGTTGGTATGTCCATTTAGTCCATTAATTGTAAGCACTAATTTTAGATTTTAAAAGCTACCAAAATATCATTGATATTTCAAAATAATCCAACAATTTATATACCGTACTAACAAACATCAAGTTTGACATAACATTTCTTCATACTTTTGACAAAAACTAACCTATAAATTAATGAACTATTAACGTACAACCTGAGAAATATTATATATAAATGACCATTTCTATTAATATTTAACAATTAAGAGATTACAAATAAATTATTTATTGTTTCCTTTTGTTTCAGAACTGGAATATTGTTTAACCCCAAGAAACGAAGGAGGAGATTGCAAAATAATTACAGAATGTCCAAAGCTATTTCAAATTTTAAAAAATCGTCCTATAAAATCTGAGGACGCGGATTATCTAAGAAAATCACAATGTGGTTTCGAGGGAACGTTACCAAAAGTGTGCTGTGCTCTCAAAGAAACTGTACAAACTACCACGCAGCGTCAAGTGGACTATGACATTCGTAAGTATAGAATATACAGCCACAAGACATGTACTTTCTGTTTGTTTGTCTCTTCTGTCTCTCTCGCACTCTTTAATATTTAATTTATGTAATTTAGGTTTTAATAGTTTGTTACGCCATTTTCAAAATATTGAAAGTCTTATTTATCTCTTGACCGTGACATTGAATCTTTACTGCCATAAGCGACGTCATTTTAATATCAAATTCCACGAGGAAACTAAGTTCCTGTAGCTGGCTGTGTACCATATATCACAAAAAATTGTTTAAAATCCTTTATAAAAGGTATATAAAATTGCCCCAAACGGGCTATCACAAACACATTGCAAAACGTTTTCGGATTAATCAATCTATCATCAGTGCAAACGGTTGTACATGCTAGTAGCCACCAAAATATATGGGTCAAAACCCTTTAAATGTTTTAAATTTGTAGTTGTTTTACATTATTAGTATTTATAATTTGTGATGTTTAAGTTACCGTTGGATAGGTAACATGGCGGCGTATGACTCTACATGAGTAAAATGGTCCTGAGACGAAGTGTCTACGAGGACCTGTTGATAACAACAAAAAGTGGGGAGTCAAAGTTTGAGTAAGAACTGGAATTACTGGATATATGTATCATTTTGAGATTTACCAAGGAGCTTCGGGAGGCATAAGTCAAATTAGTAAACTTGGAGCGTGCGCTGATGTAGTTTTGCATATAACTGACGACTTAGAGAGAATCAATCGTTTATGTAATGTATGTAATGTATTTTGCTTACTTTCCCTTATCTAAGAACTACATAAAAGAGGTATATAGGCGACAGGAACTCTTCGATTGAATCGACTACAAAATTGTAATTCTGTTATGAAAACAGATAAACGAATAAAACAAGAGGGTAGGGGAACTTCATCGGTTGCAAGTACTGAAGGTGGCAATATAATTGTTTCTAAATGGCTAGACAACAAGACTATTTACATTGTTTCTAGTTGTGCTGGAATAGAACCTCAGAATTAAACAAAATGCTGGTGTAAATCTACTAAGACTACTATAGAAGTGAACAGACCATTTTCTGTTCAGTTTTTTAACAAAACATGGGAGGAGAAGACCTGATGGACCAGTTGTTGGCCCTGTATCCTCTAAGGAGAAGAAACAAACGGTGGTACATAAGAGTTTTTATGCATTTTATGGATGTTCTTGTTATAAATGCATGGATTTTGTACAAGAAAAACACAAATAAAAATAAGATCTACTTGAATTTAAAGCAAGTATTGTTAGAGCATTAATAAATTTGGGAATGCAGAAGGAAAATAAACGAGGTAGACCTTCATCTGGTATACCACCTCCCATTTCGAAGAAGGAGAAACCGAATCATCATGCACCCCCTGAAATTAGACAATGTAATTGGGGGCACTGGCCACAGCTAATTGATATACCAAATGCTCGAAGATGTCACTCTAAAACTTGCAAAAGAAAAACAAAATACATCTGCAAAAGGTGCAACGAACCGATGTGTCCATCGTGCTTTGAACAGTTTCATACCAGTAACTGACGATTGCGCAAGTGCATAGTGACTACTAGACTGGATAAATTATTTTTTAGGTTTTAAGAAAAAAATTTCATGTTTTTACACTTACTATACTATTTTCTAACGTTAATTTGTAATATTTCTCAATTATATAATTTTTCTAAGAAATAAATAAATTTCCTGAAAATTATGCATGAGAGGGTAAAAAGCTTCAAACGTTTTTTTTGCAGGTTATGTACTTTTAATTTAATTTTGTACAACTAATGAAAAAGTTGTTATTTTTGCAGAGACATGCAATTGAGTTTTACAAATAAAACTTTGCTGATTGAAGAAACAAACATTGTTACATATCAATATTTTTGCGTATAATTTAATTTCAGATGGCTAAGATTTGAATTTATTCTGATACACAAATAGTATTCCCATAACCTCAATTGAGACTGAGACCGAGAAAAATGAAATATTTATAGTGCCAATAATTGATATGCAAAAAATGTTTATAATAAAATGAGAAAATACAGGCTACAGCAGCTTTTCAAAAATAAAAAGAGCTCTAAGAAAAAGAGGTACTACTACAAGAAAAGTGCAGATCCCGTTAGATAAAGATACTTTATCTTTGTTTACTGAGTATATCGTTAATAATCTGTTATTAGATGCAGCAACTAAAAAAAAAATAATTTTGTATTTATGACCATTGGAATTTATATTCTACTAAATATTTTTATCCATTGTTATCAAATTTTATTTCTTATGTTGATAACAATTTTTATTCTTAATATTAATGTTGTATCTAGAAACATTTGATAAAATATATTATAAAACTCACAAGAATTCATTAAATGCCGATAATTATTTTTAAATGATATTTTTCATGGCATTTACCACAAAAGATTCAGAATTATGTTAAGTGACGTCAGATGTATTATTTAAAATACATTACTAAGAAGATTAGTGCCATCATTAGTGACATAGGTATATCAGTTTTAAAACCAATGCTTTTTATATGCCTTAGTTTAAGAGTTTTAAACTTAGATTTAAGATCTCTATAACAATTCATATTTGAATATTCTGGAAATACTTTATATTAGTTGTTTTCATCTTTGTACGACAACAAATTATCGTTTATTGGTTTGAGAATGAACAATGAAAAAACCACAATAGAAATATGTTTGCCAAAGTTCATATTGAGCCCTTTCAGGAAAAACATCGTAACCAGCAAAAGTGGAATTTTACAGGAGAAGGTTTTTTTAAATGAATATTTATACCAATCAAGATTGAAAGTAAAATATTTTATATTATATTATTCGATAGTCTACTTTACAAATGAGTAAAGTAATAATATTGTATATTTTAATTTTGTAATATTAATGGCACTTACGATGTTTTGTTTTAGTAAAATAAGAGTAAGCCATAGGGTAAGCCCTTAGATTTAAGTATTTGCTGTTTCTTGAGTTAGATCAGAAAATATCTGATAATTGGTTATTTGTGAGCAGATAGCAGTATACGACCAACATATAGGTGTTAAGGTACACCGGGGTAAGAGGAACCTAAAAAATCATTAATTTCTGTTTAAGGCCTTCTAAAAAATTTAGTTATATATGCACTCTATTAGGTTACCGACAGGTAAGAGTTACACCATTTTCTAATACGAATGCGGTGTTAAAACATAAAAAAACTTTAAAGAAGTTTTTTCTAACAAAAACTTTCAATCATGTGACATGGTTTCCACTTGCCCCACATTTTCTACATGGCAAGGGGCAAGTGGAAACCTATCCGAATTTATGTATTGAATTCAATGCAAATCATTCTGGGGCAAGTAAAAAACCATTTCTGAATACATTTGTAAAAAAAGTTTAAAAAAATATGGTTATTAGCGAACATTATAGTTGTTTAGAGAAATAGGAAACGAAATTAAAGCTTGTTGCCTTTTTGTAAGCTGGGAAAAACTTAATGGTTTTGGCAATACTAATTCAATTTGGAACTTAAATGCGACTGATATGTCTGGTAGGTCATTTTTTATTCATTTTCGAAGGCAACTAACTTTAACTTCAGTATCAAAACACTGCAAAATTTTAGCGACATAATAAATATAATTTGAGCCTACTTTAACTGGAAATTTTATTAATACGAAATCATCGGGCATAGCCGCACGATGTAACTCTTCTTCGATGGGAGGGGTTGGAACCCTTAATATATCAATATCGTCGTCGGAATTCTGATCTCATCTCAATGAAAGCTTGGTCATCATCACTGCTGTCAGATTGTGTTTCCTTCTTCTTTATCCTTTTCCTTTCCGTTTTATTGGATTTTACGGTCTTTTTGTCTTGTTGTATCTTCATTTTTGCTAAATAGTCAGTGTGTGTTATGATCTCAGCGCCAGAACAGATTTTCTTACGCTTTTGCTGGTTTGATGGAGATTGTTTGACATGTTCGAGTAAAATAGATTCGAAGGAATTTCTTTCAGGAAGCCTTTTTAATGCATGATTCTGATTATCATTTTGAAGATACTGTTTGTATTGTAACACAGTACTTCTGACCAAGTGTGTTGCTTGGCTGCCACTGGTATTTTCCGACATTTCTTCTTGTTGAGGGGTATCACCAGGGTCATTTCTATTTCTCACTAATGATGCCTTCTTAGAGTTATGATATTGAAATCTTTTGAAAGCCTCAGATTCAAATTTTTCAACAGGAATCACTGCATTACAGAATGGGTAAATACCGGCCTTACTACTACTAAAACCACTTCTAATATGGTTTGAACTCAGCTCCTTCCATACTTGTGAAATTATAGATGAAAATATGGATTTCGGTAACTTTGTACCGTAATTTCTTCTTTGCCATTTTATAAGAGCTTCATCGTACATTTGTTTTAAAGGCTTGAACACAGCCAAATCCATTGGCTGTAGGAGATGGCTAGTATGTGGCGGTACTTTTAAAATAATTACGTCTTCCCTTAAAGCAGTTTCTATAAGGGCAATTGATGTATGTGAAGAGTGACCGTCATAGATCAGAACAACGGGTCTCTCTTTAGGAATATTCGGAAGGAACGTATGTTCAATATAATTAGAAAATGTTTCCGTTTCCATCCATCCGTTTATTGTTGCTCCGTATGTAATTCCTGGATACTCGTCATCTTTTTTTGCTAGCCATGTATCCCAAAGATTTTTTCCTTTGAAAATAATAAGGGGTGGTAATTTTTCTCCTGTAGCATTGCCACCCATTAAGACAAAAAAGTTTTCTTTGCCAGAACCAGCTGTAACTCGATGAGCGGCTTTTCCTTTTTCACCTACTAATTTTACACGACTAGGATCTAGACAGAAACTGGTTTCATCTAGATTATAAATCCTCTCAGGGGGTATATTCGAAGTGATTTCTTTTACCAAGTCAAAGTACTCTGCAATTACAAATGGATCTATACTTTTTTTACGGGCCACTTCAACTAATTGTGGCTTCTTTTGAGAAAGTCCATATCGGCGCTTGAAACTTAAAAAATAATCATCTCCCGGTATTGAATCTTTAAATGGAGTTTTTATGTTATTTTCTGACACATATTGTCCAATAGCTAACAAAATTTCTTTTTTTGAAAGACCAAAACCCCATTTTTCCATGGTCTTAATATGGTCAGCAATTTTGGTCTCAATATCTAAAGGTAAAGCTGTTGGCCTACCCATAGTGGTACTTTTTTCACCCCTTAATCCCTTGACTCTTTTAAATAATGTTGCTTTTGGAATGGAGTAATGTTTTGATGCTCTGTAGAGTGTCATTTGCTTAGATTTTACAGCTTCTACTGCTTCTCTTAAGGTTTCTTGAGAATATGTTGGCGGTGGTTTCTTTTTGACATAATTACAAACCATTGTTACTGCAAAGAAAAAAAAATAAGTTAGATTAAACTGTTTTAAATAAATGCTTGGGGAAAGTGGACACTAGTGTCCACTTTCCCCAATGTTGTGGGTTCCACTTGCCCCAAGCATAAAAAACAATGGGGCAAGTGGAACCTATCTATTTTTACAAAAATTATCTACACAAGTTAGTTTTAACCTACATATAAATAAAATACAATATAATTTTATTCCTTACCTAATGAAAATCGCTGTAAATTCGAATTTCTTGAATCAAAACCGTTGGCTTAAAGATAACAATTACAATTCGATGGTTAAATCGATACCGGCTTGGTAGATAAACACTTGAATAGTTTTGCTTAACGACAGTATTATGACTGAGACTGACTCTGAGCGTCAGTGGTAATATTAACCTAGTGTAGATCGTTTTTAGGGAGATGGCAGTCACAGGACTGGATTATGATTTTTTTAATCACATGGTTTCCACTTCCCCCATATTTCCACTTGCCCCGGGGTATCTTATACAAAAAAAAAAGTTTTTTCGTCTATGTTCTTATCTGTTTATTCATTCTTGTTGAACATTATCTACGTATAAGAAAATATTACATTTCACTTCATAGTCAAAAAAAATTGTTTTAAAGTAAATAAAGTTATTATGAAACTTGACGTTTATACATATAATTTAAGACTCGTTTTGTAAATATAATTTACAAATATGGAAATATAACTTAAATTCTCAATGAGAAACTGCTTCCTTTAGAATGAATTTTTATTTCACAATTAAAATAATTACAACCTATTTGTATTATCCAGTAACCAGTTCCCTGAAGTACATGTTTAACATTCAACACATTCTACATTTGATCTTGTGTAGTAAATGTTATCTCGTGACTGTCTGCGAAAGAAAATATGTGTACTAGTTTATTGTTTATGTTGAATATGTTAGTTTTATGTGCGAAATTTGCTTCAGTTCAAGGTAATCATTATTCTTTTGCTAAATTTGTTTATTTGAGTGATTTGGTAAAATCTTTAAAGACATGTCGGTGAATGACATTGAACTCCATCTCACAGTAGCTAATTGTTTCATTTAAATAAAAAATTTAAACAGTTATGGTTAAGATAATAATTCTGGAATTCTCTTCGAGATAAAAAATTACGTATGAAATTTATTGTATTTCATTTTAGTCCCCATAGTTGTAGTTTATTTAGGATTATTTTATGGCATGTAGAATCAAATGCTTTATTAATATCAAAATAAATTGCTAGATATATATCTTTGGTAGCAAATGCTTCGTCAATATGACTTTCTAGGTCAATAATGTTATTAAATGTGCCTCTTAATGGGTGAAATCTGGATTGTTCGGAAATCATTAATTTGTGAGTTTCCAAAAACCATATTAGTCTCTTATTGATTATTTTTTTTCTAATAGTTTCTAATAATTTAGTTTAGGGTTACTTATGTTCTCTGCCATTCTACTAGGAAAAATATTTGGAAAAGGAGGTCCAGGAAAAAGAAGAACATCTTGGTTAAAGAACCTCAGAATCTGGTTCAATACAACATCTGCAGATAAGATAAAAATTGCCATGATGATCGCCAACATTCGTAACGGATAGGCACATCAAGGAGAAGAAGAAGAAGATGTTCTCTACTACGTTTCCATAGAATGAAATTACCTATTCATAATTAATGTTTAGACCAATATGTACTTCTTATCTCATCTTTGTTTTGGTTTTATTAAAAAAACTTTTTTTATTTTTAGCTAAACCTGCAGATAGTCCTCTGTTACCTTCAAAAGAAGAATGCGGTATCGGAAGTATACCGGACAAAATTTATGGAGGCAACACAACGGATCTCGATGAATTTCCATGGATGGCCCTCATTGATTACGAGAAAGGTAAGAAATTACTCTAAGAATAAATTTAAGATTTTAACACATTTAACAAAAATAAATTGATCCCACATAATTTAAACTTTAATCAAATAAAAGGCAGATATCGAGCATACTTTTTATTAAATCTTTCCCAAGTACTTTCGCTCCTAGAGCATCTTCAGGGCATTTCGTCAAAAATGTAGGCTATCCAGCAATTAGATGAATATTATAAACATTGAATAATATATTTACACGAAACTAACACTAGAAAAAGGACAAACAGTTAATTTTTTTTATTTAGAAGCTACATTGCGGGTAACAGTAGGAGAGAGTATAATCTATTCTCATATTATTATACCAGCACTGGTTATTACTTCATATTTTCAAATCAAAATATTCCGAAAACGGTACACAACGTCGAGTTTTACCAAGACTGCCTTTTTGGTGTAAAATTGTGTGACGTTTACGTTTACTTGGAATTTTGATTCATAATGCTACTCTTAGAAACATGTACTACTATTGAATGATACTTGGTACGAACATTGTAACTAGTACTGTCTATGACAGTCAGATATTAAAACAAATTCATGGGATGTATCAGCTTCCAAAACATATTCGTATAAAATTCCATTACAATGTTGCTAGTAGCTTCGGAAAAATCGTAAAAAATGTGTAATAGTTTTTTTCTTCAACTGTGGTCGTGATTTGTGAATTCCAATTCACGGTCTATAAGGCCTAAAAATAAGATTTCGTTATAATTTCAATGTCTTTTTATTTTGTAGATAACGGCAATCATGGATTTTATTGTGGAGGGGTACTAATTAATGCAAGGTATATACTTACAGCAGCTCATTGTGTTAAAGGAAAAGATTTACCAAGAAATTGGAAACTGTAAGTATTACACACTTGTTTTATTTTTTCTAGATTCTATTTATTCTGTTAGGGCCTCAAGAGACTCAAGATTTTTTACATCACCATATTTTATGCTTCGTTATTAAATTGGTAGCCATCATTTCTAATTTATATTTACCGTTATTTATTATTTGTGCTAGTTTCATACTGTAACGTTTATTATTTTTCACATATAATTATAAACTTTTATAATACTATCCTTCTTCTTCTTATTGTGCCCTATCCAATTAGTGGATGTTTGCGACAATTCTGGCATACTCCTCTCGATCTTGTGTGGCTCTAAAGAGTGCATGGGCTAGTCATGTGTAACACTGTGTGGTATGATACTTTTGTGCTGATACTTTACGGTGCATCATGTGTATTGACACCGTAACAATAAAGTCTCATGACACAGTAACAGTGTCGTAACGCCCCGAGTGTTTTCGGTAAAACGATCACAAAACCACACACAGTACACATTTACAATGAACTTGAATTAATACCAATACTAAACTAATGAAATCTGTACTTATGTGATGTAAGTAAGTTGGTTGTAAACCCCTGACCGAGGAATTGTATCGCAAAGATAAGTACTGTGTGCCCAATTCAGCATAAGCAGACTGAAGATGATAACTTTTGAGTTAACATATTGAGTGAATCAATTCATCATTCCTCAGTGTGAAATTCTCCAAACTTAAGTAATTCATTTATTTCTGTAACAGTGAGGTTCAAATAAGCATTTGAACATTTTAAAACTTTGAAAATATTTTTGTCTATCTTTGAGACCAAATCTCTTCTTCTTTCTCTCTCTTACCCACCTTATGTTATCCTTTGATTGTCAGTTTTCTCGAGGCTTATCTATATAAAATCGCTTATCACTTTGATTTATATCCCACGAAAATATCGCATATTTTTCTCCATAATTTTTTTCACTCTTTTAGCTTTTTCTGCAAATCTCGGATTGCTGTCAAAAAATGACAATGTAGCAGTATATCTAACTAGTTCATCAATCAAACATCAACAAAGACATTTTAAGTGTTCGACCTGTCTGAACTATTATCGCTTTGTGTCCTGTGTTCCCAAAAAGGTTTTATTTGTGAAAAGATCTACTCTTGATCAGTCTCGCATAGTTATTAAGTAAATGCAACACAGATGTTACAGCTTAGGAAAAGTTTCAAACTTTCAGGTAGTGTCAATGGCTTACTGTGTTATATGACATAATTGTGTTGATTCAATAAACTGCGTCAGTGTTGATGTATCAACACCAAAAAATTTAGTGTGTTACCCATCGTTAGCATGGGCATCGAGGTTTACAATCCCTTATGTTTTTAAGCCATGAGTATTTCTTTATTCCGACGCCCCGTTTTCCTTCTATCTTCCCTTCTATAATAAGTCTTAAGAACTGGTACTTGGAATTTCGAAATATGACCCAGATAAGCAGCTTTTCTTCTTTTTATTATTGGCAGCAAATCTTGTTCTCTGTCCATTCGATTTAATACTTTGTTCTACATTTGTTGTGTGATCTGTCCAGGGAATCTTAAGTTGTCTTCTAAATACCCACATTTCGAAGGCTTCCAATCGGTTCATCACATTGGCCTTTATGGTCCAGGTTTCTACACCATATAGCAGTATGGAGTAAATGTAACATTTTACAAAGCGATATCCAAGCGTAAAGTTGAGGTTGCTGTTGGTTAGCAAGGTTCTCATATTAGTAAATGCTGTTTACGTATCTCTATGTCTGGATCTAGATATTCAGTTATCCCACTACGGAAATATCTGAACTTGAGGACCTTTTGGATGTTCTTATTGTTTACTCCTATATTTAATTGCATACTTCGTGTTCAGAAACAACAGAGATAAAATACTTCAACGAATATCAGGGAAAAGCATGTTGGATAGGGACAGAAGCGAAAACATAAGAAGAGCATGCAATATAGAAGACATAAATGGATGGGTGACAAAACGGAAACAGGAGTAGAACGAACATATTAGTAGAATGGCAGGTAGAATGGCACTGTTATTCATAAATTTTAAGGACTCAAAATGGAGATAACATTATAAAAAAAAATTCAGTGTCCAATAAACCCCCCCCCCCACAGGAATATTATAGGTGAGCTACTGAGGAGACTAATATTAAAGAAGAGAAACAGGCTTTAAAGCCTACATACAAGAAGGAAGAAGAAGATTATATATATGTATAGTAGTGTTAAATGCAAACCAACCTTTTTCTTTAGAGTAGTTAGGTCGAGGAGTTAGACAAGGAGACAATATTTCACCAAAATTGTTCACGGCAGCTCTAGAGTCAATATTTAAGAGCACTCAATGGCAAGATATTGGCATCAATATAGATGGAGAAAGATTAAATCACCTAAGATTTGCAGATGATGTTGTATTAATCGCAGATAATTTACAAAATACAGAGTCTATGATGCATTCGTTTAAAAGTCTGTCTGAAAAAGCAGGATTAAAGATAAACTTTGAGAAAACTAAACTTATAACAAATCTCGTAATGAGTGGAAATATAACTATTGACAATAATACCATACAACAAACAGACACTTACAAATATCTGGGACACGAAATCAAAATAAGCAGAGACAATCAAACACATGAAATACAGAGGCGAATAGGCGTAACTTGGGCAGCATTTGGCAAATTAAGCCATATTCTAAAAAGTTCAATTTCCATGTGTCTCAAGCGAAAGGTTTATAACCAATGTGTTTTACCTGTACAAACTTATGGAGCAGAGACTTTAATACTCACGCAAAAATCTGCGAATAAACTTAGAGTTACACGACGAGCCATGGAACGTGCAATGCTGAACGTGAGCCTTCGAGACCACATAACAAACCAACAAATTAGGCAAAGATCAGGAGTTCAAGACGTCATCGAAAGAACCACGTCGCTTAAGTGGAACTGGGCAGGGCACTTAGCCAGAGCACTAGATGGACGGTGGACAAGACGTATTATGGAATGGAGGCCCAGAAACTATAAAAGAAGCCGAGGACGACCACCGACTAGATGGACCGATCATATAAAACGTGTAGCGGGAAACTGGCTACAAGCGGCCCAGTGTAGAGAACACTGGAAAGAACTGAGGGAGGCCTATGTCCAGAAGTGGACGCGATTGGATGATTGATGAACCTTTTTCTTGTGATATTCCTGCCTTAACTTGTATGAATTTTAAAAAGGTGTCTCTATATTTATATATTATATTATATCCGAATCAGGATTTTACACCAATATAAGGTGCAATTATCGACTAATTCTAATCAGGACGGTATGCAGTAATGCAGAGCAGAACTGAACGTCGAAAGAACCACACAAGGAACGAGGCTAATGTATATGTTCTGAATAAGACTGAGAGATAAATATATTGGATCATGAGAAATGAGAAGGTTAGAGTAAGATAATTGGAAAAAACTTCGGCAGACGTATATTTAAAAATGGAATTGTTTGTACAATTCCAACTTATGTCAAGCAGTATATGATAATTTTTTAATTCAAACCGTTACGCTTTGTTGAATCAACAATTATTTTTTTATAATATCTGATTTGTTTTAATATTTATAGTTTCCGACTCAATCTTACTATCTAATTTTATAAGCCATTATCTTCTTTCAGATATTCATAATTTAAAACTTGTTCATTTTGATAATATTTCTTTATGCGATCATAAAATACATAGTTATTCATTGATAAGTAGACTGGTGAGTGAGTCATTCTGATTTTATAAGGAATTTCCAATATTTTATAATAAGTTAAGGTTATGAGTTGCATTTTCTCTCAGCAACAATATTTTTCCATCTTAGCATTATTCTTGTGTGCTACTCAATTATTCGGTATTTAATTGTGTTACTTTTTCCACTTTTGTCTATTATGTGAGCCACCACATAAAAAGACGAAATGCGTGTTCGTTAGTGCAGTCTTGAGAAATGTTAATATGGGTTTTACAAGAAACTGTTGTTTCTTAATTTAAAAAAACCCAAAAAATACTTTGTGTTTTTAACACATGTGTTTACTTATGTTAAGTTTTTAAATTTCGAGGTAATGTAATGGATTAATATCCTAATTTTTAATATTTTCTAGTAGGTGCTAATCACACAAACCTGCCGTAAAATCATATCAAGTAAACCTTCTTCTTAGGTGAATTGCACACATACCGATTTTGGACGGCCGTTTTTTTACCAGTCGTCCAAATTCCATTAGTAAACTACATGTGAGAACGGGACCTGGCACATACGCCAACAGCTGATCGGTGCTCGTAAATTGCCGAGGAGCAGCCGGCAGTACCGGAAAGTAGTGGGATATGTGTTAATTACGATTTCAATGGGTGATTTGCATCAAATGATGTAATATACATTATGAAGAAGTTGAACAACCTAACACCATCACGCCTTAATTCTTCAAAAAGAGTGTAGAATGTTCCTCTGTGTTCTTTGCTTGATTCATAGGATGAATCCACCACTTGCGCTTAATCCTACGGTGCTTTATAATAGGGCAATACGATAAACACGTTAAGGATTCATTATTATTCAATAAATTCGTGCCACGACAACCTAGCAACTGATCGTTTGACCGGTAAAAATCCAGTGAATCTGCAAGCACCTACTACCAATAAAATATCGGCCGATTTTACACTCACCCTCTAAAATGGGTGTGTGTGCAAATAGCGTTACTGTGCCGTCTACTAACGACGCTTCTTTAAACTCTTTCCTATCTTTTGCAACGTGAAATATCTGTTCAACATGAGGTTAGTCCAATCTATTTGTAGTATTTATTATTAGTATTTATCATTCAAAGTTTGTGGCCCAGATATGATGTTTTCCTTATTTTAATTATGTTTGTAAGCTTTCTGCCAACTCCATTTCGTCTTAACACTTCATCGTTTAAGACTTTTGCATTCTAAGGCATGGACATCAGAAAATAAAGAAAAAAAGTAGCTTATGCAGATGAAAACCAATGAAAGATTGTAGTCTTCTTATACCGTAGAGTGTGACCACTTCTGTCTACCTTGGGAAAACTAGGCGTCACACACATTTCGCTGGTGCATTGTGTTTAAAATGTCTGTAGGTATTAATTTTGGTTGTAAGTATATCTATCTTGATTTCAGAGTTGGCGTTAGGCTTGGAGAATATAATACAGAGACCGATTCAGACTGTGTACAAACAGTAAGTGGTCAAAAATGTGCACCTCCTCCAGTTAATATTGCTGTAGAAGAACGAATTGCCCACGAGCAGTATAATCCCTACGATCAAAACCAATACCATGACATTGCCTTACTTAGACTTTCAAGAAATGTAAAATATACCGGTAAGTTTTAAATACTGTTTTATTAAGAAATAAACCATAGTAATTGTAATTAAAATATTTTAAGTTTTGACTTCCTGTTCGGAAATGGTTCTCAGAAACTAAATAACCTAATGATAAAGACTGTGTTTTGCAGGAAACTGGCGGTAATTAAAGTTTTTTGGCCGTTTAACCCCGCCTGTCCTGCTCGTCATTGCTCATAATGGATTAGGTGCGAATCTGGTGAAAAAACTCCTCCTAGGAGCGTTATATATTTATGGTTTGGGCTTTTGATTTAATTATATAGATTTAGCCATACGGCTCACACTCCCTCTAAGGCGAAAATTCACTCATCCCAGATACCTACGGTATCAAAAGGATTGAGCTCTAGTGAGACTCTTTCCATGTTATCGAGCCCTAGGTGACTTGATATGCTGGAGTATCTCCCAAAAATTTTCGTACACATCTGGACGTTGGAGTAGTACAGCTTTCTGCATAGTCTTGTAGATATGTTCATTCAGACCTAGCTTTTTTATGTTTTCTAGGTTTTTTGCAATGACTCTAGTAGTAGAGAGAATAAAAGGTATTGTTTGGGTACTTTCCATTCTCCACTGTCTTTGTATCTGAATTTCCAGATCCCTGTACTTGGCGATTTTTTCGTTTTGTTTAACACTAAGATTATTGTTGTTGGGTATCGCCACATCAATTAATTTTGTTTGTCTCTTTAGTTTATTAACTAGTATGAGATCTGGTCTATTAAATGCCACTGTTTGGCCTGTGAGCACCGTGCGGTCCCAGTATAGCTTGTAGTTGTCATTCTCAAGTATACTCTCAGAAACGTATTGATAATATGGAAGATGGTTTGTTTGAAGAAGTTCCAGTGTGATAGCTATCTCTTGATGAAGGATCTTTCCTACTGAATCGTGCCGTATCTTATATTTAGTGGCAGCAAATGCCTGACAGCCCCCGGTAAGATGTTGGATGGTTTCCTGAGCTTGGCATCCATATCGGCATTTGTCATTTTGGACCTGAGGGTCTTTGACGATATACTTCAGGTAATTTTTGGTTTGTATAACCTGATCCTGAATGGCCAGTAGTGAATCTTCTGTTTCAGGGAACATCTTTCAATGTCAATGTCAGCCAATAGTTCGACGCTATATTGTTGACATGGTCTTGACTGACCTCATTGGGATGTCGCCCGTGTAGAGGTTTGCCCATCCAGGTGCGCATTTTTTCCTCCTCAGTAAGATGGTTTATGCGCATTTCTGGTTTCCTCAGTTTGATCGGTGTTGTGTCATCTACTGCACAAATCGCGCAATGAAGACTAGATTTCTCTGCCTGCAACTGAAAATAACTTCTTAAATTAGTAATATGTTTTTCCAATTGCTGGCTTATATCCATAAGTCCTCCTCCTCCTAAATACCGCGGTAATGTCGTTCTTTCTACTGCACTTCGAGGATGGTGTTTTTGTGCCTTTGTGAGGTGTTTTCGTACTTTTCGCTGAAAATTTTCTATATTCGTTTTTGTCAACTTAACAATACCAAATGAGTAGCTAAGCGCGGAACATGCGTGTTTAGTGCCTTAAAAAATTTTTACTGTTAAGGTGTGAACAAAGCAGCTGTTTTACCCTTCGTATAAACTCAGTAGTTATCTCAGTTTTCATTTGCTTATGGTCAATTTTCCGCGCTTGTTTTATTCCGAGGTATTTAAACATATCATTTTCCCCTATGGCCTCAATGTTCTGGCCGTTTTGCCTATCGAATCCGCCAGGCTGAATTTTTCCTTTGAATTTATTTAAGACACGGCACTTGTCAAGAACGAAGTGCATACTAATATCATTTGAGAAATTTTCTACAGTTTTTAGCATCTGATCTGGGTGGTTTCGAGTGGAAGCCATTTGATTTTCTTGATTAACAAAAAACAAAATAGGTATATCGATGGAAGGTAACCCTATATAGGTGTTTCTGACTATTGGTCGTCTTCAGTACTTGGTGCAACCAAGTTAGAAAAGGAGCATGTTAACTTTAGAAAAGATCACTACAGGACCAATGCGACCAATTTGTGGTATTATAGTTAGAAGATCCTGATGGTTTCCAGGACAACAACTAACAATAACCACGGAGGAAGCTACCTGAAGAAAGTAGCTCTCTTCTCAGTACTCTCTGTCGTTTGTCGTTGAAACGGTTTTCGCGATATCTTTGTTCATTTAGACTCCTGTTATTTATGGTATATATGTGTATATATGTGTATATGTGTATATATGTGTATTCCAGTCTAGTAATGGTGTGCCTCTTGTTCTTTATGTTGATTCGTTTATACTTTCGTTATCAGAACCTTTGATTTCGGTTCTGTGAGCCCTTGTTTTATCTCTCCTTAGATAAGCTAGTAACTCTATCTGGCGTTGTATTACATTTTCTCTATAGGAAAATACTGAGGCGGGCGGTAAGAAACTAGTGTCACGGATAGCGTCACAAAATAGATGTCTTAAGACAATCTCCAAGTGGTCTCCAATAAATGCCTTACGCCAACTACAGCCTTACGCCATACGTCGAGATAATATGCATGATTGATATAATAAATAATGTTCTTTGTATAGTGTCTGGCTTTGGTAACTATTAGGCGCATATAAATTAAATTTTTATTTCATGTTTTAGGATTTGTTAGACCCATTTGTCTTCCAAAAACTGCAGATGATCAATCTAAAAATTACACAGGCAAAAAACTAACAGTTGCTGGATGGGGTAAAACAGAAACGCGATCGGAAAGTAATATAAAACTCAAGTTAGATGTAAGTATATCATTTTGATTCCTAATATAATTCATTGGTATTAAGTTATTGTCTCTACATCTTCGTAAAAGTTTGATTGAATTTTGACAATGTGCCAGTTTTTCGTAAAGAATTTTCAATATCCGAAAATTTTGAATAAAGCTGGGCTCATAACGGTCTCGTAATATTGTTCTGAAGCTATTTTCTAACCGTCAAGTCTATTAATGCATTCTAATGTACCGGGTGGTCCAATAAGCCGATCTCTCGGCTATATATCAGAAACTATTCATGTTATAACCGATTTTAACGAAATTAGTATTATTAGAAAGAGTGTGGATGATTTTATTTACATCTACTATAAAACAATTGCATTTAGTTTTAATTGTCATGGGTAGAGGGTACTTTCGAATAGAACAAATTAAAATTTGTTTTTTTTTCAAAATGTTTAACGAAAACACCTATTTATTGTAAATTATAATGGAACTGGATTAAATTTTTAACAAAATGGAACAAACCGCATGTTGATAGCTTTTGTCGAACACGAGATATGAATAAAAACGCATAAACATAAGTAAGTATAGTATTGACTCACCTTGTCATAATGTCATAATGTCAAATTATATGTTTAAATTGTTTTCCATCATTGTCCACACAAAGATGTAATCTTTCGCGCGTAGACATAACAGCTGCTTCAATCTCAGCTGTTGACATACTATTTATATCGTTTTTAATGCGCTGTTTCATGTCGTCTCGCGTGGTTGGTCGAGTTTGGTACACTAAGTCTGGAGATCTATCTGGCCATGAAAATATACTTTCCCTTCCAATCCAGTTATTTGGATAACTTGCATACAAATAACCTCGAATTCGTCTGGAAAAGTGCGCAGGACACCCGTCATATTGTAGTATCATATCTTTTCTTGTTTGAAAGGAAATATCTTCCAATAAAACAGGCATGATTTTCCAGAAAATCCAAATATGTTTCGCCATTTAAAGTTCTATCAAAGAAATATGGACCTATGATCTTTCCATCAACTATACCACACCAAACATTAAGACTCCATCTACCTTGAACCTGCACCTCATGTATGCAGTGCGGATTTTCTTCAGCCCAATAATGCATATTATGCAGATTAACACCACCCGCACTATTAAACGTAGCCTCGTCTGTCCACAAAATCTTTGACATGATATGCGGTTGTTTTTCTAGCAGACCTAACATCCAATTGCAGTAATCCAGCCTTGCATCAAAATTTCTCTTATGTAAAGCTTGGCTACATGATTAGGATGCAGTATAAAAAACAGAACAACAAATATTGGTGAAAAAGAAACCACTATATTTACTAAAACTCAAAAAATCTTGAAAAATTCACAATTGTTTCACAAGATAAATCGTTCATAAGTATTTTTAAGAAACGGATAAAAGGATAAAAGTGCCGTGTTGCCGTTTATATCGGAATATGAAAATAACAGTTGAATCTAAAGTTTAAAGAGAATTCCAAGTTTCTGACCTAAACGTTCACTTTATAATATAAAAAACCAACCTGTGGTGTTTTAAAATCCTTAGAACAGTAGTTTTGGGTATGTTTAATTCTATAGAGATTAGCCGACTACTTATATGTGAATTTTGTTGAATTAAAGCAAGAACATTGATTGAATTATCTTCGGCCATACCTCTACTATGTCGTTTAAAACAAGGACAATGAAAACTACCAGTTTCTTTTAATTTTCTTGCCTTTCTTTCAAATACTTCTTTGGCATAATGTCTCCTCTTAGGATATTTATCAGAATATATACGTGAGGCAATAGCGGCATTTTTGTAACATTCGAAATAAACTCCAATCATATCATACAATTCTGCATTTGATATACTCATCACGAATTGTTAGTACTGATAATTAATTACTAATATTACCAATATTATTATCTATTGAAAAAAATGCAATCTTCAATTCGAATTATAATATAACACTTTTTAACAATGTTTTGACTGATGTCAGTAAATAAACAATATGAACTATCCCTCAAATTCATTGTCGTAGCCTACTTAGTTTCGAAAAAACTATTTTTAATCATATGGAATAACAATTTTTAAAATAGGTATCAACATTAAGATTCTTCTGCTATAAAATTTACCTACTAGAAAGTACTACTGTCTTATTATTTAATTTATAATACAGGGTGAGTCAATACTATACTTACTTATGTTTATGCATTTTTATTCATATCTCGAGTTCGACAAAAGCTATTAACATGCGGTTTGCGCCATTTTGTTACGAATTTAATCCAATTCCATTTAAATTTACAATAAATAGGTGTTTTCATTAAACATTTTGAAAAAAACAAATTTTAATTTTTTCTATTGGAAAGTACCCTATACCCATGACAATTAAATCTAAATGCAATTGTTTTATAGTAGATGTAAATTAAATTATCCACACTCTTTCTAGTGACACTAATTTCTTTAAAATCGTTTGATCCAAACCAAAGTTATAGGTATTTATCCACAAATAGTTTCCCACTCTCCCCCACCCTTTATTTGAAAAAATAAAAAAAGTATTTGAACAACTTTGTGCGGAATTTAGGTATCTTTCTAGTTTACTTATTTAACACTTGGTATAATTGGGCATATTTCACAAAAAACTGGTTTTCAAAGTTTTCTTTACAGGTTACGCCCCCTAGCGGTTAATCCAGAATCATCATCACACAGCCAAATTTGTCCACTGTCGAACATAGGCCTCCTCAAGATGTCTCCACTCTTCTCTGTCCTGTGCAGCTGCGATCCAGTTTGTCACTATTCTTTTAATGTCGTTAATTAATCCAGAAACTTGAAAGTTATTTCCAGCGATTTCTCTTCGCCACTTTTACTAAGGAATTTTTTCTCCTAAAGTTATAACATGAATAGTTTCTGATATACAGCCGAGAGATCGGCTTATTGGACCACTCGGTACAATGTAGAAGTAAGTTCGAAATAGGGAACAAGAAGTACCCTATTTCCCTGATTATACTTTTGATATTCATTCTGGTTTCTAATGTTTTACGTATTTGTTTGGAGTAGTAGAGATTTTTGGCAAATTTGTGGATTGTTTTATTAAATAATATAGAATGTCTGTTACATTGACACGTAGTTGCAATAGATAATATTGCAATTTCGTGCCATTATTTGAACTGCAGATGAAGTCTTCTTTTAGTGGAAATTTTTAACTGGTTTGTTGAGATGCAATAGCAGAATATATTGAATTGCTTTGAGAAGTAGTAGGAATCTCCATTGATAATAAATAATTATGCGTCATTTAATTTTACTAAAGCACTTTATTATAATTATAATCATATCCAAGTACGGCCCTGATTTTAAATATCGGTGCTGAAATTAAACACAGATTTCACTTAATATTATATTTTTTATTTTAGGTACCAGTAAAAGCTAATACCGAGTGTTCAAAAACTTACCGACAAGCCGGTGTTCAAGTCAACAACGGCCAACTGTGCGCAGGAGGTGAGAAAGGCAAAGATTCCTGCAGAGGCGACAGCGGCGGACCCCTTATGGCTTACGCTTCTGATGAAGAGTTCCAGTTGAATTGGTTCATTATTGGTGTAGTGTCCTTTGGACCTTCCCCTTGTGGAATGGAAAACTGGCCTGGAGTCTATACGAAAGTTGCTAATTATGTGCCCTGGATAGTGTCGAAATTGAAGCCTTAAATACTTTTTTGGACATTATCAATGCTTGTTAAAGATATTTACAATAAGAAGTTTTTACAGTCACTGTTAAATAATTTAGATTTTTAACTTACCGATATAAAATATAGAGAAACAATAATGTGACATTATTATGGCAGAATATACCCATACATTTACGTGCAAAATATGATAATTTGAGGCTTATAAGATGTATAATGATTCGGTGTAGTTCAAGTGTTCGGAAAATGTTATAATTTCAGACGTTTTAAACATATATATCTAAATTATACATTATGTATTATTTTTGAAATTGTATTAAGGTACTTAGATTATTTTAGTCATCGATTTTTGGTAACTAAGAAACTGTTTTCGCCACTGTAAAATTAACCGATGATATTTAATTATAAATATCAAGTAATTGGTAGAATATTTCTATTATTATTTTTCCTCATGGTGCTATAGAAATGTTTATAAATATTTTTTAATAATTTATTAAGAAAGCTTTATATTTCTATAGATAAATTGCATTAATATATAAGTATCTCCTATGCAATTTTTAATACAAAAACATAATTATTAGTGGCTTTATTTGTGATCGTTATGAAACAGCCTACGTGTGCTATGTATTGAAAAAATTATTCAAATTATACTCATTTTAGTTTGTATTTTTATATGCTCAAATTTGGTTAGTAATAAAATAAAAAGAAAACATCTAAATTGTCTTAATACCCACCTAACCCAACTTCTCCACACAACACTCATCCTACAGGAGCCAACACAACGAAAGGACATCAAACGAAGACGCCAACTTGGCAAATTAAAATTAGTTTTAAAGGCCCTTCCACACAACAACAAAAATCAAAACTTCTTACGTGTTAAAAACTAGCCTTAGATCAGCAAAGTTTTAAGTTTTAGTTTTATTTATTTTTTTCCATAGCTAATGTTAAAGTGTTGCTATAACAACTGTTTTGAGTAGATAAAGTATCACTTTAACCGCAAGGGTAGATAAAGTAACACTTTAAGGGGACAGTCTCATGCGAAACTTTCAAAAAATCAAAAATTTTTTTTTACATAAATCGCTTCCATTTACATTCAAAAACTCCCTCCTAAAATTTTTAAAAAAAATTCCCACTGGAATATAAGTTATAGTTATTTTATTAACGTCACATACACACGTATGAAAACCGGTTTCTCTCCGCGCGGCGAGCGCGAAGCTCCAGCTGTTCTTGCTTTTGTTTATGTTGTATACAGATTGAACCAAATTAAAACGGAACATACAATTTAATACATGTGTGTTTGAACTGCATTTGAAATAGTGGACCAATATAAAACTCGGACAAAAATAAATCCATACCTAGGTATAGACATTGTATAAAATATCGTTCAACTATCTGTCTCACAACAATGTTGTTTGCATAAGACGGGTTTGTCTAAGGAAACGATTATAGTTCAGGAAATAAAGCTCAAAAATAGTTAAAACCTCGCAATTTTTTCGTCCTGCATGTATCCATTTGAAATTTTAACAAAAGGTAGGTGATAGCCCAAGGATCAAAATCTATATCGAACCGAAGTGCGCTGAAGGGTTTTAGGGGTGAAAACTACCCCTAATTTGTAGCGTTTTTTTATTTAAAGTGCATATAAAATATTTCTATGGTACGTCCCTGTTGTTTCTACCAAGAAATCGATCAATAAAGTTAAATGTAGGTACGTTGTAAATATTTCAAGTTTTTTTTGACGAGATTTTTAAATGCGTATTAACGTTGGAAATATGTTTTTATCTCTGTGTTACAATGTTAGGTGAAACAAACAGTTTTTTGTCGCCAAAGAGGTGTTATGTTACATGAATTCCCCCTAATATTCCAGTTGACAAAAAGTTGTTTTTCGTTATTAGAATGAGAGTCAAAAAGAATATTTGTTTATTTAGGATACAAATACTGGCGTCTAAAACGCAATAAAGGAATATTTAAAAGGTTTTTTGTCGATACGAGCGAGGGGATATTGTTTTGGTTCTTGAGTTTGTGGGGACAGGTTAGCTGCAAGACGGAAGGGAAATTTTTGGCGAGTTTCTTGTAAAATGTAACGAAGAAAAGGAGTCGACATTTAAGTTCCAAGCAGGGCAGACGTACTACAATGTAGAGTCGAGATTTAAGTTCCAAGCGGGGCAGACATGTGGGAATGGAGTAAAAGATTTGAGAGGAAGTGATGAAGAACTTCTCGAAGAAAAAAGTCGTTTAATTGTGATGTTGTAAGCCGGCATTCATTCGCCAAAATGGTGGAATTTTCACTCTAAGTAATATGTCGTTTCTGAAAGAGTGACCAGTAACTACTGTTTTTATTTTGGCTGAAGATTTATGATGTTTGAGCAGTGAACAAGTTTAGTTCCTGTTTGTTTTTCGTTTTTTGAGAAATCCAGTTCCTTCCCGAGATGCCCTTTTCACCTCATGTAGAATAATATTGGAGCAGTTTTGATTTGGATGTGCCAGCTTCAGCTTCCAATAAAGCTTTCCGTTGATGTGCAGTTAGATACCCCACAGAAATTAGCCAGTTGTTCAAAAGTTTAAGTTAACATGAACTGAGGTAACATTTGCGTTATTAATTTTTAAAGTAAAAATAGACATTTTCTTTTAAAAAGACAAAATTTGCTTTCTTTTATAAATTATTTTTTAAATTATTTACTAAGAACCGTTTCGAAGAGTTTTGTAACCTTTTGTAAACAGATATGTAAGTTTTTTTCATTTGTATTTGACAGCTAATTTTATTTAATATGCCTTTGTATAAGCTGTATTTTTGAAAACTGTTTGGTGAGACAAAAATAAATGTTTAATTTGTTTCTCTGATCTATTTTGAGTTTTATTTGAAAAAGATATTTTTTTTCTATATTTTTGATGTTATACAATTATTTCCCTAGTTACAACTAGTGGTTGTAATAGGTATAATTGGGCACCTCAAGTGGCGCCCTATATTAAATTTCTTGAGGTGTTTCCGTTTATTTTCATTCTGTTTGTCCCAAGAGATTTGTATAAGTACCCCTTTATTTCTTTTTTTTGTAGTTGCCCCAATCTAACCCCCAATATCTTCAACTTATCCACGACCCAGCTCTCCAACAACCAACTGAGTGTCGTATGCACTTGTTTCGATTATTTTGTTTGCCCAATCTTGTCCCCCATATTCTTACCCTGTGGTAAGCAAAATAGTCGTTACAAATTGTCAAAAATTATAAAATAACATATTAAACCTGAATATGGGTAAGATTTGGTTTGAATTAGTTAAATAATGATTATTTTATACTTTTGAATAGAGTTCCATCATATTTCAACCCTTAAAAAGCAACCCTTGTTAGAGATTAATGTAAAAAAATTACCAATTATAAAAAAATGATTTCGCCTTGGATCGATTTGGATAAAAATTTGGATTTAAGCTCAATTCACCCGCTGCTTTATAGTTTATGTCATGTCGACGAACCCTGATTGTTCTAAGGGGTGAAAACTACCCGTAATTGTCAAAAATTATAAAATAACATATTAAACCTGAATATGGGTAAAATTTGGTTTGAATTAATTAAATAATGATAGTTTCGTGCTTTTGAATAAAGTTCTATCATATTTCAACCCTTAAAAAGCGACCCTTATTAGAGATTAATATAAAAAAATTAGTAATGCGAGAAAATGATTTCACCTTGGAACGATTTGCATAAAAATTTGGAATTAAGCTCAACTCACCCTCTGCTTTATAGTTTATGTCATGCCGATGAACCCTGATTGTTCTTAGGGGTGAAAACTACTTCTAATTTTCAAAAATTGTAAAATAATATAAATCTTAAGATGAGTGAAATTTGGTTTGGATTAGTTAAATAGTGATTTTTTTATACTTTAAAATACAAATTCATACATTTTCAACCCTTAAAAATCAATTGTTATGAGTGCTATAGGTGAAAACAATTTTTTGCCAAAATTTTGCAACTTTTCAACTTTTGAAAATCACCCTTTACAACATTGCAGTTTTTATAAACTAATTTATAAGATATAAATTGAAAAAAGTAGAATTAAATACAAAAAAATTTATCAACATAAAAAGGCACCATATATTCTTATACATTTACATAAATAGTTGAAAATATTTACATTTATAGGTAAAACAATTGTAATATTAATTTTATTCGTCATCAATTACATCTTCATCGTGATCTATGTCATCCTCATCTTCAATTATTGGTGGACTATTATTGCACCCTTCACCTGAGCACCCAGAACAAGTAGAGTTACAGTATAAACCAACTTTTCTGCACCCACATGAAACACCGCATCCTTTTTTGCATTGCCAAAAAATAATTTTCAAAAGTTCATCGAGTGCAGGTTGTTTGTTCATGCGTACGGGTAATAACAAACCATCTTTGGAATACCATCCCCAATCTGTTGCTCTAATATTTTCATTGCCAAGCCATAGACATATGAGCAGATGTTTTATTCTGTTGTATGGGATTTCAAAATAAGAACGCTTAAAATTTCGAATGTATAACGCCCCACTAGCTAATATACCGGTTTTGTAGATTACTATGCTCCGAAATGTACTGTATAATACTAATAAAATAGTACTAATAAAATTTTCCGGAAAAAAATTCACTTGTTTTTTTTTAACGTATTTCCTTTAATTTTTAACGATAGAGTGTTTCTTCAAAAACGATTTGTAGAGGTTTTTAAGAGCTACAAGAATCTGTGAATTAAATCTTTTTGGATCCCTTGGTTTTTAAATGGGGTGAGTTTAAAGGGATCGAAAAAGATGGTGCTTGATCGTAAATCGATGCTTTAAACGGCTATATCTTGCCAAATATTCATTGTACAACAAATCTAAATGAAGGATAATTTTAGTCATTAAAAAAGCTACAATTTGGTAATTTGTATTTTTTTTATATATTCAGTATTTTCGGGCATATTTAAAAAAAGAAGGGTAAAAAATATGAAATTGTAAATCGTTTCTCGCTTTAAGCTGTACTTTTTATAACACAAAGCATTTTAAATGGGTCAAACTTCTTGGACATATTAACAATACATGTACAAAGGGAATTTCAGAAGGGTGAAGATCGATTTTAATTATGGGGGTGGTTAGGGGGTTGTTTTCATCGATTTTTTCGTAAAAAATGAGGTATTGACCTTATTTTCATCATAACTCACTCAATTTTTCAGCTAGAGTCTTTTTTATGATAGGTCTATTTATGCTCTTTAAAAAAGGTTTTGTGAGTTTTCTTCCAAAAATACATCATTTTCCCGATATTTGATTTTGAATCTTTCAAATTTGGCATTTGAAGAAAACCGCTGAACATTAATAGGCCGTATTTCGGTTCCTGTTATATCCCAAAAACATTTTAAAAAATGAATTGTATTTGTCTTTTTAGAAGCTACAAATTTGTTCTCTACAATTTTTTTGATAAAATGCACCATTTTCGAATTATTCGCGAAAAATCGATTAAAAACGTGGATTTTTTCGTCCAAAAATTATTACTTTCAATCGCGAATAACTTGAAAAATATCATTTTATAAAAAAAATGTATAGCACATTTTTTGTTTAGAATCACTTTTTTAATCGAAACCTGTAGTTAAAACGTAAAAAAAAATTTCACCCCGGAGATGGGGTGGCAACCACCCCCTAGGCTTTGGCGCACTTTGGTTCGATATAGATTTTGATCCTTAGGCT